AAGCTCCAACCCTTGTGCTGAGCGAAAAATAAATATTTTTCCTGCCCCTCTCAAGAGCAGGAGGGATCCGTGGGGGATGGATTGTGATCCCACCGGGACACAGATCCCCTCACCAGCCCTAAAGGAGGGACAGGCAKCTCAGAATCCAGAATTAGGAGCAAAAGAAGAGGCTCAGAGACAATCAGGAGCTGCCTCTTCTTAATTCATCGGCGCATCTTTGTGCCATCACTTGATTTACTCAGGAGCGATTTAAAGGAAGCCGGGAAAACAGCAGGTCTGAGGAGCAGTCCGAGGATACCTGGTGGGGCAAACAAACCCCTGCCACGCTGGGAATTTGCCGAGCTGCTGATAAGAAGACTTTAATCTCCGTGTACAGCCTGAAACGGAGCCGCTCGAGTGGCTTTGTGTAAGGGGATTGCGGCAATCCCATCGCCTGTCACACCTTCCMGGCAGCAGGGCACACAAATAAAGGGTTTAACGGGGCTGCTCGGTGTGGTCAGAGGCTCAGGTGGTGTTTTTTTTTCTGGAGGAGGATGTTGTGTGATGCTGGAGAGGCGAATTCCCGAGGAGGTCAAATCCTCTGAGCACCAGGTGGGACCGAGCCCAGGGAGGGGAGAAAATCCCATTAATCCCGGCTGGGCAGTGAGATCCAGAGTGGCTTTGTTCAGCTTTATTTACCTAACACCTCTCTTTGCTAAGTGTAATTAATTCATTTTTCTCTCAAGAACGGTAACAGAGATGTTACAGCAACACCGGTTGTTTTTTTTTTAAATACGAAAGTACAGTTCACTGGTATTGCCTCTTATAAATTGTACATTTAGATGTCGATGATTTTGCCAGGTTGGTGCTGACTTTGGGCTGAGCGTTATCATTTTGATTTAACCCTTCAGCAAAACAGATTCAGCTCATCCTGAGCTGGAAAAAAGAACATGGTTTGCTCTGGCCGTGTTTGTACTGACAAAAACATCCATTCTGACATTTCTGACATCCTCTGGGGCAGGGATTCATCCATCTACATCTTCTGGGCTGCACCATTTGCTGATACCCATACTCACATCATTAACATCATTAAATCCCCATTCTTTGCTGTTTTGGTGAAAACTGAAGATGTGAATTCTCTGGACGTGCTGGATTTGGGCTGAGCAGTCTCTGCCCCAGCTCAGCTCCCGTGTGGGGGTACATTCACCCTCAGGGTGGGTCCAGCCTTGCCTCAGAGCTCTGAGTGGCATGGGATAGCCCCAAAACCACATTTTTAGCCATCAAATGTTTTCATTTCCAGTCTCTGGTGGGGAGGTTAGAAAACACAAGAAGAGGGTGAGATGCCACCTAGAGATGCCTCTCTCGAAATTGTGATGAGTTAATTCAACACAACCAAACAATTTTGAGCACCAGAAGCATTTCATAGGATCATAGAATGGTTTGGATTGGAAAGAACCTTAAAGATCATCTTGTTCCAGCCCATGCCCTGGGCAGGGACACCTTCCACTACCCCAGAGTGCTCCAAGCCCCGTCCAACCTGGAACATTTCAGGGATGGAGCAGCCACAGCTTCTCTGAGCACCCTGTGCCAGTGTCCCACCCCTCTGAGAGTCAGGAATTCTTCCCAATATCCCCCCAGCCCCACCTCTTTAGTGGGAAGCCATTCCCCTTGCGATGGGAGCAATTTACTGATTTTATCACTTCCATAAGAGCAAGTTCTGCATTCTGTAGCTCCATAAATTAACGCTCAGAGAGTCTCCCCTGATCAGTCCCTGAGATGGATCGAGTTCTCCACAGACTGTTCTCTGTGGGCAGCTCTCTTCCCCAAAGCTGCCGACGTGATTATTGGAAAACTAATCAGCTCCATCTGAGATAAATTGCATTTCCACCAATTACAGCTTAATTGTTGACAGATGGGARCGCAGAAGGGAGATGTGTCACATCATTAAGAGAACAGGTGTATAGACAAGTGCCAGATTAATTGTTCCAGCCCATTAAATCATTGACCTTTCCAGCTCACCCTCGGCACCCAGCTCGAAGCTCTCAAGGTATTTCCAGGGTGACCATGTTTATCAGCAAAGTTCTCAGATCATGAGCAGATCTCCTTGTTAAAATAATTCCTTTTTAGCTCTTTCCCCATTTTGGGGTTTGTTTTGGTGTTTTTCTGGTGAAATCTCACGTGGTGTGTGTGTTTTCTCCACGGCACACACAGAGATTCCATGATGGGCTGTACATTTAGGGATGTGAAAAGGAGGTGAAATCAGGACAGAGCAGCTCAGTGCTGGGCAGCTGGAGGCTCCAGCTCGATTTGGGGCTTTGGCTGCAATTCCCAGCTCCTCTCTGCATG